TAATTGACTAGTATGTGTATATATGAACATACATGGCCACGGCTGAATCGCTTCAGCCAATAAATTTGCTATTTATTTGTATTAATGACGAATTCTTAAAAATTTACAAAGCATTAAGTGTTTTGCCCAAAAGTTGGGTTAGGTTGGATGGCTGATCCCTCAGCATGGCGTACACCAACGGAACTCCAAAGATAGCTTATTTGCAAAGATTCGAAAAAAATTAATATAACACTACAAAATAAATCTGAAGGAATAATATGCGACTGATGTGCTTGGGGAACTGTGGGGTCTTTGAGGTGTTCTAATTACGAATTTGAGTTAATCACGTAGAGCTATTTTTGTCATTTTAGTAAACTTGACTACAGCACAAAAAATTCAACGTGTTAAGGCATTTTACTTTCATTTTCTGCTTCATCAAACCAAAATTAGCAAGAAACTGCCTCAACCATCATAACATCATAGTCGCAAAATATTTAATAACCATATAACAACTTCAAGACAAGAGTCAGATAGAAAATTAAGCAAATGCTTATAGAAATTCAAGATATCTGAGAAGAATTACAACTAAAATTGCAAAAAAAAATTCTTCGGGTTGCTTCTAGTATAAAATGTTACTATCTTTCCTGCAGGGTTATCAAAACCTGTTCTCACAACCAAATTCGACGCTTTGTTCTCTATTCTGTACAAAGTGTATTCTCTTGTCCTCTACTGCACGTGGTTTTTGTTAGTTAACGAGGACTGCACGTTCTTGCTCTCACTCTCCACAAAATTGCTCGTTGACTTTTATTGAAATTAAATTTGCGTCACGATCTCCAGTGTCGTATAACATACACACATACTCACACACATACGCATGTAAGCAACACATTTGCAGTTTCATAACCTTACAACAACAACAATAATACTTTGAAATGCACTGTGACATACATTTGTTGTGCTGTTGACAGCAGATATGCCACCTGCGTTACACAGCATTCGATCGCAATTGCTAAGTTGCACATCAACACCTTGGACGATGTACCGTTTAAAAATGCAAAGCCGAAAAGGAAATGAAAAAGTTGCTAGTTTGCTTAAATTTTCAGTTTTTTCGGTTTCAACAGAGATTAATTTACCGCAATTGTGCGTTCTCTGCGAATCTCATTAAATATTATTAAGTGATTAAAATTTATTACAAATAATAACCGTCTCAAACTTATCTGCTTGCAACACCACACTCCTCACCCACTCCTCACCCACGTCGACACACTTCTCATGAGTTTATACTCGCTATAATTGGTATGCAGTGCACTTGCTATTGTGAATGTCACTCGTGTATGAAAATCCGTTATCCGTTTGGCAATTACATTAAATAAGAGCGAAAGCAGCGACATTTCGGGTAAAGTGGCAAAGTAATAAAAACAATGAGCAAACATATAAAAACGATTGTCAAAATGATGTGAAACAGGATATGCGTGTAACCGCCGCGAAATACACGCGCACAGACAACAACACACATGTATTTAATACGACAGTCGCAGCAGCACTCGGAGGGCTGGTAAAATAACGCCCTTTCAATTAAGCACAGCGCATCACTTTTTTCGCCTTTTTCCAAGTCAAGGACATGTAAGGATAATTGCCTTTTTGGGGTGGAAAAAATATATATAATAATTTACAGTTTGATTAGGTAGCAGGTTGGGCCAGCACGCCAAGCCCAGTTGCTGTTTCAGCTCTTCCTCCCGCTGCTGCTCGATGTTAAATGAAGAGCGCGCTCCGACACGTGTTTTGCCGCAGCGCAGCGTTTTTGTAACAAGTTCATCAATTTCAAACGTTTTCCAGACGTTATGTCAATTCCGTTGTCTCTGCCTAATTTTTCCTTCCTTTCGATTTTTTATCGCCGCTCCTGGGTCTATTGGGATTTGCTTTCTAAGCGTATGTAGTGAGAGTCACGAGTGCATTTGTATGAAATGAGCGTATCCATATCAACCATTTAAACGGTAGAACAATAAACAAAGCAAATACACCAACACGTTTTTACCGTTAAGCTCAGATAAGGGTTTGAAGTCAAGTGCCTTCTAAAAAATATTAAACCTTTTCAATGCCATTAATTTGAACAACATAACATTTGTAATGTGGCACTGCAAGGAACTTTGTTATATAAACTTGGAAGGTATATATACACATTAGGGTGAATAAAAAAAAAAAACATTGCGAATTTATGTATCCGAGGAGAAAAGTATCCCATTAAGACAGGATTTCTAGCGTAATTTTAAAAGGTGTTTGTGATCATTCAATGTTTCCCATATAAATAAAATGTAAGATAAGAGAAAACGTGATCTTCAGCTGCAACGAAACTATAATAACTTTCACAGGTACATATATTTCTTGTAGGGTAAAAAAAGTCTTTATCATGATTTTTAACGCTCGGTTTCTACAACATCTATGAGATATAGTAGTTCGATCTTAAACAATATGTTCGGATATTGCAGAAATGCTTTGCATAATACTCTGTGCCAAATTTCGGGAAGACATCTAGTAAATTTTCAAATCGATATCTTAAAAACTGAGGAACTAGTACTCGTATAAACAGACGAAGAGACGGACTGGCTATATCGACTCATTTTGTCCCGCTGATTATTTATATATGTAAAATATATCTACATCGTTTCTTCCTAGATGTTAAAAACTCCGTGGAAAGCTTAGTAAGCCCACTTTTTACCATAAAAATGTTTCCATTGGAAATTTTATAAATTAGCGACTCAATAGGCTTCATTTAATACGAAAGAATTTTATAACATATTGAAAAGATTTGAAAATAGAAAGAAAAGTTTAGGGTTGCCCTAGAGTGAAATAAAAAAAATCGATACATATTTAAATTTGCTTCCTTCAGCAAGTTGGTGAAAACAAAATTACATTAAAGAAAACACAACTTGAGAAAATTTCCTCAAAAGATATAGGTGATTTTATCACAAAAATATTGCTAGAAACACAAATATACTTTCCTTTGCGTATAAGTTCAGTTTTTCCCATTAATTAAATTTTATTATTTTATGGGCTCACCCTAATGCACATGAATATTGCCAAACACTTATTTTAGAAAATTTTGAAAGTATATGTTTTAATTTTAAAATCTGTCCAACATTGCAATAATTTGACATTTCCTTTCGCTCGGCCATCGTTTTCTACTGAAAGTATTGATAGCGACTATCACCTGCTGCCACATTGTAAAATTTAACATTTTGCAACTCATCAAATTGATTTATAATGAAAAACACGATTTATAGTATTTCTTTTTATCCGATATTTACATAAGTTTGTACATTTATTATTTTAAATAATGCGTCGTGTTTATTACTACTGCTTTTTTATACACGATTTCTTGTGGTTTTATTTAAAGTTAATCTAAACTAATTATAATATTCTAAGCTTCCTTGAAGTGGGAAAGACTTACGCAAGCGATTTAGTGTTTGTGTTGTTTGTTATTCCTCTCGTCCTCTTTTATGCAAGTGTTAAAATAGCTGTAATCTATGTTTTTTCTAAAGGTATTTAAGCACTTATGGCATACATTTTGGTTATTGTGATTATTCTGTTTACAAAAATTCGCTTTACAAGAGTTCAGTTAAAGCAAGAATGTTACAAAATGCCTGGAAGTTTATTTTAAATTAAAAAGTCTGCAATAAAGCACACGTGAGAGAGTCGTTTTATACTTTTGGGAACTAATGCTGAATGGTTGGGTCTCAGGGTCTCAACTTCGCTCAGTTCTGTTGCACCTATACTACCGTAAGTACAAACAAAGGTGAATTTAAATCAATTTCATTTCCTTCACAGTAATCAGTAATTCCAGTCCGATAAAACAAACGAACTTTTGGCAACGCTTTTGTCAGTCCTTCAAACAGTCGGAACAGTATTTTTTCGCTGTAGCCTTCAAAACCTTTTTTCGATTCGGTTTATATCTCCTCAATTGGGTCAAAATGGCAACATCCTTATTAGGCTTTTGAGTTTGCTGAATCGCCAGAAGTAACACGAAACCAAGTTAAACGTACACGGTGGTTGAGGAACGGTATGAGTCGAATTTTTGGCAAAATAGTCGCGAAGACCATTGCAGTATGATATGGTGCATTAGTATGAAGAAGACACCAATCGAGTCTTGACCCGTTTGAGACACAAAACCTTCTTCAAAGGGTTTGAGCTGAGATATAACAATACTATCAGCAAGGTCTCTAATTATCAATTGCCGATTTTCAAGCAGCAAAGATTTGATTTTTTTACGTGGTTTTCGTCGATAGAGTTTGATGGTTTGTCCTTAACGCGTTGGCCGGGAGTTTTAAATGAAAAATTCACCATACTTTTTGATCATAGTAGTACTTACGTAAAGTGAAAACTAGGAAGGATTAGAGAATGGAATATTTCCTTAATGGAAGTGCATATTACTTATAACTTTGCCTAGTTTAGCGTTTGTGTGATCCACCACTGGTGATGAAAATGACATCCAACAATTTAAAGAAACAATCTGGAGAATGTCGCTCCAACAATGAGCCGGAAGCGATAAGAAAAACAAAATTGAATGTCTTCAGCCCTTATATTGATTGAGGTATTAAAGATTTGTATTAAAATATTTGCAAAACTACATTTTTTGTTAGTCCGGCTAAACTTTTATGTTCTGCAATTTTTTGTTTGGTGAAATATGGTATTATGAAGAATATGATTAATATTTTCTCGAAATTTAATAAAGAATTTGTATGAAAGTGCCTCATCGCCTTGTTTTGTGCTGATATTTTCGCAATAATTAGTCATATGCCATAACTGCTTACATAACTTATTAGAAAAAAATTCTAAAAACGAATGTCAATAGCCTACTACTATATATACATTACATTATACTACATATTAATTATATTTATTTTATTTTAAAACTGAACTTTAATTGAAGCTTTTTTATTTTAAGAGCAAATTGTCACAAAGGAAATTAAATATACAATGATTTCATTACTTCGTTATAAATAATTTAAATACTTTTTTTAAAAACACTATAACTCCAGCTGACAATAAATAAAAAGGTTTTAGCTACATCTACTATGCAAAAATGTTATTACTCTTTCAATTTTGTTTTTGTTTTTTACTTCAGTTTTCCTCTGTGACAACTTAAGTTCGGCTTAGTTTTATTTTATTTTTCAGAATAATTAAGTTTCTTTTTCTCTTTACGCTTATAAATTAAACAGTATAGCTAATACTCCATTTTTGTTGAGATTAATTCCGTTTTGCTTGTGTTTAATATATAATATTTAGTATGTATGTATGTGTTAGTGTAGTAGATTTTCCTATATATACAAAGCATATCACAAATGAACTTTACTGCACTTAGATATTTGGTGCACCAATACGGTTCTGGTTCCGGCTTGTCCTTAGTGTGGGGAGGATTAGCAACCAGCCGCGTGTGTCTCAGCCCAGGGCTGGAGTCCGTGCAGTGCCGCCAATGGAGCACCGTTAACCGCTTGTGTAGAAAGTTGCGCGGCTGGTGGTGGCGCAAATCCTTTGCTAATTGCTTCTGCCTGCAGGGATAACATCAGACGATTTGCCGCTTGACGTTCAGCTTCACGCTCCTCAGCTGTTTGACGTCTGCAAAGAAACGAAAAAAAACTTATGAAAATGTGAGAAAATTAAAATTTGTCCATAGTTATTTATGTGTTGCTAGATTATTTTTAGAAAGAATGTCAGAAATTATATTGAAACAGCTAGTGCTGTTTTTTTTTCTCTTGTTTCCTGTATATTTATTGTACATGAAATAAATAAATATCTATCTATTTATATTCAAACATTAAAATTTTTTAACTGCATTTTATGATTAATTTGGAGGGGTTAATGAAAAATGAAAAGATCCTTTTGAAGTTAGAAATACACTCGGTCATTTAATATTGGCCCTCGGAGGGCGATCAATTTTAGAAAATAATCTTTAATTTCATATTTCAATGGCAATTCTTGAAACCACAATATTGTAAGTATTATTTGGGAAGATATTTTGTAAGTTTAATTTTAGCTAACTTTAGTAAATATAATATATTTAAATATTTTAAGGGAAATCTGCTGTTCAAGCTATTTTTTCTTTATTATCAAAGGAGTCCATAATTTCTTAGCAACATGAAACTCTCGTTCTGTGAATGCGATCGAGTTACGCTTTAAGGCATCTATACTACCAAAAACCTCATGGACTTCCATCTGTGAATCGCAACATAATCACGGATGTGATTGAAACGCATAGAGCCGGCGCAAAAGATAGCGAAGTCAGGATTGACCGAAATGAAGTTTTTTCTATATGTTTCAAAGGGAACTATCTACTATGAGCTGCTCTCCAATGGCCAAATTCTTAGTTTGGATCTGTACAGGCAACAAATTCACCGTCTGAGGGGAAGCTGATCAGCTCAGGCCATCTAAAGGCAAGAAGAGAAGAGTTGTGTTACATTAGGACATCGCCAGGTCATATATATCAATAGTGCCGAAGCAGGGTTGAAAGTTTTTTCCCATATCCCATTTCCCATCAAAGTTATAATCCGGATTATGGGTTTTCATGAACTTTTCTTCTTTTTTCTTTTTAAAAGAGAAAATACAGATACTCCAAATTTAATAAGAAACGCTTATTATCATTCGAAAGAACATTTTTTGGTATTTACTTTTTTGAAGTTTACCTCTTTCAAATGTTGGTCGCGGCTTCGTCTCAGATGGATTACTCGTTCATTCCGACTGGTAACTGGCGAATGACACGCCAGTTAAAATCTATTAATTGATGTGAGGGAAGTAGCGCCGTCTTGTTGTAACCAAATGCCTTCGAAATCATGAGCTTCAAATTCAGGCATCAAATTGTCCGTTATCATGGTGCAATAAGGGTCACCATTGACGGTTACGTTCACACCGGCATCATTTTTCAAGAAATATGGACCGGTGATTTCACTGGCCCATAAATGACACCAAACCGTTGTTTTTCTGGATGAAATGGGAGCTCTTGAATCTCTCTCTCATCGATTATGACAATTTTGCTTGTTTCATAAACAACGTCCGGCTTTTTTGAAACTTTTAAAAAACCTATAGAACGAAGCGATGCTGCTTGGGAAGGTCGAGCGGCTTCAATTCATGTACAAGTTATATTTTGAACTAGTTGATGATTATTCAATAATGAATGCTTGGTCTTAAGATGGGTGATGGTGGCACCGTTTGTGTTGACCATATGTTGAGCGAAACGACCGGAAAACATTTTTTACATAACGTGAACTTTCATAATAGAGTTGAATGATTTGTGAACGTTGTTCAGGCATAAGTCTTTCCACGATGAAAGTACTGAAAAAAGTACCTCTACTTGGATCACCCGTTATATTAAGGAAAACCTTCAACTTTATGCAATAACGGATTTCTTTTTACAAGACCCCAAACACACATAATGTTTTTTATTAAATAATTTGATTATTTTTTACTTAAAAAATAGCTATCGTTTGGTGGAGATTTAAGTCTTATTGTTTTCATCATTTTATGAACAATTAATAAATTTGGATCGAAGTCATCCAGTAAAGAATTTAGGAAATAAGTGGTGTGAGTCCGGTGTAAATGGCTTACATATACAAGTTTTGACTAAGTTCTATCACATTTCGTTACATATCTAAATATTCATTCGACGATTACATAACATATATTTATAATTGTATCTAAAATAGTCAAAATTTAATTAACATAATTTGCGTTCATTTAAAGCAGATGAAATATTCTTATACACAAATACATATACGTACATATCGAAGTATCTATGTCCCTAAGGACCCATAAATGAATACAGCAACTTGTATACCGCTGACTAAAGTATTTAGAAAGCAATTACGGTAAATCAATATGCATTTACCCATTTAACAAATACCGTTATGCGACCTTGTGTTGTTGTAGTCATTGAATCAATGACAGTTTGTTAATGAATATTTAAACGAGAAACAATTTCAAAACTCATTAGTGTATGCACACACTCTCATATGTGTATGTATATACATGTGTATCCAAAATTAAGGATCTGATTGCTGATTGCTGATTGCCAGCGTTGATGGCACAAATGCAATAAACTGTGGCTTGTACGTGCTTTTGGGTTGGTGGACACACCAATATGCATATTCAGAAGTAATAACTGCTCACATATGTAAAATTTTGCGTGTGTATTTGTAAACTTTTAAGTTTATCCTCATTCTCGCTCGTTATTAATTAAGGCAAGAAGAGACGTTGATGAGACCGACGGTGACAGCACACATTTAATTCATTACTGTAACTACAACTACAACTAAGACATTTAGCGATTGCTCCGTTACTGTACACTCCCCCTCCTCAAAGGAAAATGGAGTTTGCGCATTTAAGTTAATGTGCGCCACAGATGTGAATTACCCACGCAAATATGTAAGTGCATGTGTGTAAATGTATGTATTTGCATTTAGGGATGAAGCGCCATATTGAATAAGTCATAAGTTAATGATATACCCTCGTAAATGCATACCCATTCGGTTTTGGTTATGAGAGATAGGACAGGACAGTGGGATCGATATTTTGCATGTAGGTGTGTATGCTTGTACAAATATGGTGTGTAGGCATGTGAATTTAAGAGGAACATTTCTGGAAGTAAGAAAAAATAAAGTGATGACATTAGAAACAGAAGAGGACATGATATCAGAAGTATCATGAAGTGTGGCATCTGTTCGAAAGCCCATATATTTGAGATACAATGACAAAAATATGTAACAAGATTCTACGAGCAAAGTGTAACTATTATAAACTCTGCTAACTTTCCATTTATAAATTCGTTCAGTATTAGCGGCGAAGACTCTTCGCTCTTCTTTCTTCTGTTAAATCGTTTTAGTAAGAGAGCTAAGTAATTTTCATGAGAGAGCAACAGTAAATACGTCATTTTGAGATGTAATACAAGCAACATATCTCAATATAATTATGCCAAAATAATAGGTTTGTACCAGCTTTTTACACAATTCTTATAAGTTGTCATCTATGCGAAAATAATATTAATATTTTCTTCAAAATCCTATTATTCGGCTTTTCCCACGTTTGAAAATTAATATGTAAAATAAAAGCAGAATTAAAACTAATACTTTCTTTGAAATTGTATTGTATTGGGTTGGAAATAATAGAATCAATATTTAGATGAATTATTTTATGTAATCACAAAAACAAACTAATTGATAATACTTTTTTTGTTCTCAAATACCGCATTGAAACATTAAAATAAAATTTTGAATATCAAAAACCGGATTAATAACTAAAAATAGAAAATTTAAAATTAAGGGTAGTTAGGTTTTTAAGATAAAAAGGCTTTTTTTTTGCGAATTAGTTTTTTAAATATGAAGATAAAAAACCAAGAAAAATTAGTCAAATTATAATCAAACTTAAAGAGAAAACTGTTATCTTCGACTAAAAAAATCCGCCATTTTATGGATGGAAAACACCCTTAATGTACAAAAAAAATTACCAAACGATGGGAGGAAGTATTTTATACGTGTGTGTAAATGTTTGAAATAAATCGGTCAATCAGTTTTGAAATGGCAGTGAACACAGACTTTGAAAAAGTAGTTTTGAGAAAAGCGCGTCTAAAATTTATATTTTTTAAGTTTCTCCATTTAAGCATCGATCTGCAACAAACACCTACCCAAGAAGCTGCACGTTTGATGAAAACCGATATCGGACCACTTTAGCATATAGTTATCATACAAACTTTTCGTATTTATGAAAGGCTTATAACTTTGGCGCAAACGAAATCAAAGTTTTTAATAAATTACAAAATTTGTTGAGTCGCACATTTTCAGTTTCGGTTATGTCTCTTGGTTCTCCAAAAGAAGCGGAAAAAGTGTCTGGATGTTTCCACCTCACTCTGCTCCATACATTTTATTCCGATACACGAATTAAAAAATAAATTTCCAATTTTTAATTTACATTTTATTTACAACTCACAACCCACAAAATACATACCACTTACATATATACCATATTTTCATGCAAATTCCAATAGCACAAAATCTTCCATACACTCCGTCTGTCTCTTTAGTAAAGAAAAATATGCTAAACACACACACACAACTAATATATTCATATGCACGGTACATATGTACATAGAAATGTACAGGAAAGTATTCGCAAAAACCAACAATTCAATTTGCAACATTTGCACTCCATGAAGTCAAATCCTTCTCAGTTCCATATCGCATATTGCGGTGTGAATTATTACTGCGGATAAGTTGCAATTGCTTGTTCGGTTATTGTGCTGTTGGCGTTGGTGGCACAAACACAATGGGGCATGGTGCACGGGAGGAGGGACTGTTTGTGGCGTTACAATATTTTCAGTGGCACTGTGACTGCTTGTTGCCGGCAGTAATGCTGTCGGAGTTTGCTGATGCTGGTTTGTTGCTGCGTCGGTGGTGTAGCAGAGGTGGCGGTTGCACTCCAAAACTTTTCATGCTACAGCACGTTAAAATAATAAAACAAAACAATAGAAATTGATTACGTTTTTAGCGCACCCGCATTTGTTTAGACACACAAACACATCCATTTATGTAAGTTAGTGAATGTATATACATATATATAATTGTGTATCTGTA